GCAGGTCAGGTCCACAACAGAGACATTAGGGGTTGGCACACGGAAAGCCATTCCAGTAAGTTTCCTGTGAGAGACATGAGTCAGCAAGGAACAGCATCTGGCACACCTCTGCCAGCCTAAGTAATAGTCTGCCTCCTCCTGACACCTGAGAAGGGACAACACTCACCCATTGAGCTCAGGAATGACTTTTCCCACAGCCTTAGCAGCTCCAGTAGATGCTGGAATAATGTTCTGAGCAGCACCTCTACCATCCCTCCAGAGCTTCCCAGAGGGGCCATCCACTGTCTTCTGTGTGGCTGTGATGGCATGGACAGTGGTCTGAAGAAAGAGCACAGGAATAAGAACACAGCCAATACTCTCCAGGAAGAGTGACAAAGGGAGGACAGATGCTTTCCCTCTCACACAAGGGGATCTGTGGTAGGTCAACCTCCTCAGCACCAAGCTGCAGACCTACCATGAGACCCTCCACAATGCCAAAGTTGTCATGGATGACCTTGGCCAAGGGCGCCAGGCAGTTAGTAGTGCAGGAAGCATTGCTGGGGTAGAGAGAGAAAGGCACATCAGCCAGAGGCAACACTTCCACTGAGATGAAGTGAGACCCCTGGCAGCTAGTGAGAGCTCCAGGCCATAAAACATGTTCCTCTCTCTTTACCTGACAATTTTCAGAGACTTGTCATACTTCTCATGGTTGACACCCATCACAAACATGGGAGCATCAGCAGAGGGGGCAGAGATGATCACACGCTTGGCACCACCCTTCAGGTGAGCCTGGAGAGATAAAAAATGACATAACTCAGGATCCTTCCAAGCTTGCTCCTTCAGATCTCTTCTCTTTCACAGTCTCATCTCGTGCAGCTCTGTATATGGAGCCCAACAGGAAGAAGCAGCACTATCTCCTCTCTCCTATGCCTCCATGGCATACTCACCCCGGCCTTCTCCATGGTGGTGAAGACACCAGTGGATTCCACAACATATTCAGCACCAGCATCTGCCCACTTGATGTTGCTGGGGTCACGCCTAAGGAGAGACAAAATTTTAAGAGCTGCTCCATGAGACACTTGCTTTCAACCTCCAGAGGGGCAACAGTGAAAAAGATACTTACTCCTGGAAGATGGTGATAGCATTCCCATTAATCACAAGTTTCCCATTCTCAGCCTTGACAGTGCCCCGGAAGTGGCCATGAGTGGAGTCATATTTGAACATATAAACCTAATAAAGAGAGGGGGAGTGGACAGTCAGGCATCCAGGCTGCCATCATCCTCTAAGACCCTGGGAAGTTACTAGAATAGGTCCAGAGAAGCCCTACTCAGAAAGGCCCAGAGGGGGCACAGCAAAGCAACTAACCATGTAGTTCAGATCAATGAAGGGATCGTTGATGGCCACCACTTGGACTTTGCCAGAGAGGACGGCAGCACGGGTGACCAGGCGGCCGATGCGGCCAAATCTGGAGAGAGAAAGACGTGTGAGGAGGCGCAACAGGGAACCAGCACAGCTGGGCATGGGAGGCAGTCCATGGCAGCCTTCCCTCGGGATCATCCACTGCTCCCTGCCGACTGGGGCGGGAGGGAGCCCTGCAGCTCGTCCAAAGGCCAAGGCACCCCGGTTAAAGATTAAGAGCGACCCCTGCCCCGGAAAGGTCAATCGCTAAATTTACTGAAAGTCCCAGGGATCCGGTTACTCCTCCGCCCGGTACGAGAAGGTCACATCCCGGGGCCGCCATTGACACACGATCCACCGGGAGACCTTTTGGTGGGGGGCTGCAGGGATCCCCGGGAATGCGGAGGGAAACTGGGGCAGCCGTGCAACGGCAGCCCCTTCCGGAGTGAGTCACCCCGAATCCGAAGAGAAATGAGTCAGCAGCACCGCTCTGCCCCGGGGGGCGCCGGCGGAGCGGGATCGGCGGGATTCAACCTCTCCCTTCCCCTAAATCATACCCCGGCGCCCTTGAGGCGACCTTGCCCCCCCCGCCCCCACCCCCAAATCCCCGCTGGCCCCACCGGCCCCGGCACTCACCCATTGACTCCGACTTTCACCATCTTTACCACTTCGGGATGTTCCTGCGGGCAGAAACCACCAGTAGGGGCATTAGGGGAACGGGCAACAACCGCCCCCGGCAGCCGCGCCCGCACCCGGCGCCGTTAACGTCTCGCCCGCCCCGAGGGGCGAGCGGGGGGGCGGGCAAGGGGGCGCCCGCGCTCTGAGCCAGCCCCACCCCCCCCGGGCGATCACTCCCCCGCCCC